AGTCCGATACCTAGAAGATAGCCCTTCTCCGGACCGTAATTAACGTCGATCTACTCTAGAGTACCATCGGAGCTAAATTCGCTTCGTACGATAACTACCGGAACCGCTTTCTTCGGATCGACTACGACCTTCGGTAGATTAAAACGCTCTAGAAGAAGAAGTTAAGACCCTTCTTCCGTGGCAATCTTAGTAATATCTAAGACGACGCCGGTAGGATAGACTAGGAACCTACTTAAGTAACTAGGATCGCCGCCCTAGAAGCTAAGATCGCGGCCCTAAAGATAAACTAAAGGAGTAGTCCTTCTCGTACGAACGAACGGGTAAAATAGGTCTCCCGGGAAGAGATTAACTAACGCCGAATAAAGGGGGAATACCTACGCTACGGATAGAGAGGGCACCTAATTGCGGGCTATAGACTACGGCCTACTACCCGACCTCTAGAGGTAAACGCTATCGATATAGATAGAGATAACGACTCGGGAAAAGAATAACCTTCGTACGAAATCGTGTACGGAGGTCGCTAGATACTTTAAAATTGAAATATTCTATTTAGGAAGAATTTAAAGCTACGCGTATAAACTCCCCACCGTTTATTATTACCGCGACCCTAGACCGATAAGCTATAGCCCGTACCTTAGTCGATAGCGGATACCTATCGTATAGAGCTATTAGTGAAGCCTTTACGAAAGAAAGGAACTTAGAGACTTTCGAGATCCTACCACGAATATTAAGAGGAATAGGAGGAAAGGGGACGATTTTATAAATCGTACGAACCTCTCTCTTAATTAACCACCACTTTAAGAAAGAGACCTACTTCTATATAATCCCTAATTCTATCGGATACGACCTAATTCTTAGCCTACCCTAGCTAAGATAATAGAACGCTTACTTCAAACCTTTAAGGAACCGGTTATATCTTCGATTATCGAAAACCCGCCTCTATAGGATCGGTAAAACTCCTCTCCCCGATACTATAGAGATCTCGGCACTCTTAATATATAGAGAGATTTAGTTAGTAATAAAAGACTATAAATCGTACGATTCCTAAATCTTTGCTATCTCTATAGCCGATATCGAGAAAGTATTAAAAACTAAGAAACTAAAGGACCTAAAGGTAGAACTCCCTACTAAGTACTATAAATTCCTCCCTTTATTTAACCCCGACGAAGCGACTAAACTCCTACTATACCGCGGGGAAGGAATCGACTATAAAATCGAACTTATACGAGAAAATAGTAAAGAACTAATAGTCCCCTAGGGGCCCCTCTATAATATATCGAACGAAGAACTTCTAGTGCTACGAAAGACCCTAAATAAGCTCTTAGATAAGAACTTTATTAGGGTTAGTAAATCCTTAGTAGTAGTATATAAAGATTAGTAAGAGAGGTATAAGAGATAATATTTTAGAATAATAATATATTATCTATTTTAGTAGCTAATTAACCCTCTAGATAGGCTTCCGAGTATAGGTGCCTCCCTTAAATATATATATTTATTAGCGATAACCCGGCCCGGCGATATCTTAGATAAATAATTATATAGAGATATATTATATATATAACTTCTAGCTTACCGGTCTTCTTATATATAACTTAGTTAAAGTGATCCTAGATATTAGATATCTTTTTCCTATCCTAACGGATAGAGTTTTATATATTAAGCTTTAATCTAAACTCTATAGTTAACCACTATCTTATAAAGCTCTTACGGGATTTATCTATTTCGCTACTAGGCTTAGAGGAAAATAGGACCTAGTACCGCTAAAGAGGGAGACTAATATAAGAAAGTGAGGAGGGTATAATTAGAGATAATACTTCTAAAATAGATATTAATAGAGTTTAGCTACTAATAAGATCGGAGATATTATCTAAATAAAGTAGGTCGGTATTTAGACCTAGATCTAAATTAGCGTAAAAGGAGTACTAGGACTAAGATACCTATAAGTAAGATATATTATACTTAATTATAGGTTATATAGAAGTAGGGAGAGAAAAACGTATATATAGGACTAGCTAAGAATATTAGGGGTATAGTAGTCGCGACTTACGGGCGCGTTTTTAATATATCTCTAACTTCCGATAGCGATAATTAGCTATTACTAACCACTAGTGCGGATATTTAAGGATATTTAAGGATATATTATAGATATCCGTGTAGATATCCGCGGATATCCTTAATTATCCCTAGGTATTAGTTTTAAAAGATAATAAAATCACTAACGTATTCCACATGCGAGCTGGACACACAAGCGAGCTGGACACCCCACCCACCCTACTGAATTTAAATGCATTTATCTCAACCAAAACGCCATTAAATTAAATCAACTAACTAACTGGTCTATCTAGATATGTTTCTCTTCTATGCCCTGGCAATCTATATATTCCACACCCCCGGGGGGCCGCGTACATGGCTAAATAGTCGATTCTCTAGGTATACCGGGGCCCGGGGGAGGTGCTTTAATTGCTTCTTATTGCTATATAATTAATATAGAGGCTTCTTAAACTAAAAGGCCTTCTTTAGTAGGTATATACCTCCGAGATCTAGTACGCTTTTGCTTCTACTTCTCGTTAGCGGCGCGTAATTCCTTGATTTCTTGCGCTTATAGAATATAACTTTGTATCTAGAGTTAGAAGCCTTTTATAAGCTGGTTTAATACACGATCTAACGGGCTAGGCGGACTACGAGACTATATACGAAGTAAAGCTTTAATCGATAAAGCCTATCGACGTAGTTCTTTCTCTATATAAGGAGTTTTTAGTGTAAAATTTCGGCTTAATTCGCTCCCCCGGCTAGGGGGGGGTTAGGGTTCGAAGCCGAATATTAAGCTTAGAGATCACTCTCTCCGGTTTAAAAGGGACTAAACCGGCTACCCCGAAGCTATTTTTAATCGTCTCCGATTTAAAAGCTTTAATTCGTGCGAGGGGGTATACTTCGAGGAAGTTAAGTTTGTTAATATAATTAATCCCGTTCCGTATCTTGATTTTAACTATCCGACTATACGCACGTTTTAATACCGTAAAACAACTAATATCTAAAGGTTATAAAAGATAAGATAAATACGCTAGTATATAGATTGGTATCACCTTATTTTACTCGCAAATTTCGTTAAATTAAGGTGTTAAATAACTTCCGTGGCCGTTAAGTATTAAAAGCCGGTATACCCCCTTCGTACGTAAAGTACTAGGAATAAAGAGCTTCTAAAGCTATCGAAGTCTAATTTTATTAGAGGTCTAACTATTAGGACTAACTTTAAAGCGCTAATCCTCCGGAAGGCCGTTAAACTATGATTTAATAAAGACTTTGCCTTTAAAAATCATATATAGAGGAAGGGCCTAGCTAGAAGCATTCGTATATTTAACTACCGTCACCTATTCACGATTTCTAGGTTATAAAACCGGCCTCCGACCGTAGTATTCACTCCTTATAATAGCCTTCGTAGTTATAGTTAATCCTATCGCGAAACCGGTCTTATTAAAGTTATAGATATCGTCGGGGTCGATTCTATATTAAAGGATTGTCTTTTAAACTAGATTAAACCACTCCCTAATAATTTTAGGGTCTTTATATTTCGCACGCTCGTAGTTATACCGTTTCGAGAATCGGGAGGAGAGGAGAGAACGTCTTTTAACGAAGTTTATAACCTAATTTTCGCCGACCGAAAGAACCGGGGTAGTTCCGCGCTTTTTAAGGAGAAGATTCGCTATTTCTCGAACGGTAGAAGGCCGGGGGGCTACTCTACGTAGATCTATAGAGAGAATCTATTTTTTAAGAGATTCCTCTTCGATTTCTGTTAATTTATATAAATTAGCGCGAGAAGTCGCGCGGTTTTATACCCTATAGAGATAGGTGGAGAGCGTTGAATTCGGTATATTAAATCGGCGCGCTGCCTCACGAATAGAGCTGATCTCTTGATTCTTAATAGCCTAGATAGCTAGTAAGATCCTACCCTCTTGCTCTATTGAATTTTTAGAGCTTCGGGAGCGTATTAGTGGCATGGTGGGTGGTTAAAGAATAAAGGGTTGAATTAATTAACACGTTTTGGGTGGGGTGTCCAGCTCGCTTGTGTGTCTAGCTCGCATGTGGAATACGTTATCTATAATATTAGAACTTCTAACTAGTATTTCTATCTAATATTATAAGAAAATATAGTCTAAAATCTTAAAATAATTTAAAGATAAGCTTAGACTATTTATTTTATATTAAACTTATAAGATTTAACTAAGAAATAGCGATTTTAATTATATATATTTTATTTAGCTAAAATACCCTATACTACTATATAAAGCTAATATATATTTCTATTATAACGTACTATAGAACGATAAAAACTTACCTATATCTTCTAATATATTCTAGAAAATAAAATCGACGCTATAAAGAATAACTAAACGATAAATATTATATATTATATGATTATTTCTTAATATTTTATTAAGGAATAGGGTAAATAAGGTCGTTAGTATAGTTAGGACCGAATATATATATCTTTTATTTTAAAAAATAAATTAATAAGCTATATAAGAGGTATATAACTACACCTAAGTAGATAATTAAGCGAGAGTTATGCTAGTGCGGATACCCGTAAAATATCCTTATATCCTCGCGGATATCTATGGATATCCTTATTAAGGATATGGTATTAGAATAATATCCAATATCCTCAATTTGCGGATATGGTATGTGACCCGATATCCAATGGAGAGGATATGCCGCAGTCTAGTTATACGTCTATTTGAGGTGACTTTATACAATAGTGGGTATAGTGGGTGTATCCGGGATAGGTATACCCGTGGGCCTTAGGCGTTATAGACGGGCACTCGAAAATCCAAATAGCCCACCGCCCACCGTGGACGGGCGATGTCGCAGTCTAGCTCTCACATACCCTAGTGACAACTAAGGGGATAGATACCATAACGTCCACCGTTAGCAAAAAAATGCTGGCCAAGAAGCGCCTTACCCGAAGTAGTTGTAACAGGTGTGTAAATAGTATCTTATTTAAACTAGTCATCCGGATATTCATCCTTCATATTACTCACAAACATCCGCTCCCTCTCATCCCACCGTTTGAAATGTTTACCCGCAATGGCAGTCAAGCTACTCGGCAATTCCGTGAAGCGAGGCCGAATTATTTCAATATTTTCCTCAGCCACATATCGGACACTTCGATCCGCCACACTATGCATCCATCGTTAGCCATTAACCAGAAAGAAGACACAAGTACTACCCACAGCACATGATAGAAGCTTTGGTGTCTGCCAGCTTCTAATCGATCAATGCCCATTCTCCTCATCCATTGTTCGCCCGCGCCACATTCCGAGTCCCAACCCGTGATAATAGCCTCGTAATGATAGCGACGATGGCGGAAAATCTGGCCCACCTTGTATTGTATATTTACACTGCCACCGGTTCGCCTCCGAATCTGCTTTGGGATCTCATCCACGGCCCTCATCACATGAAGGCTCTCCAGTATGTGTTCATGCTCGAACAGCCCATGAAAAAGAGGAGCGATGTACTGCTCGACTAGAAATATATCAGAAGGAAAATCTGTAGCAAACAGTTCCATGAGCCATGGCAACTGATGGCGTAGATCCATCGGCCTCGAATCGCCGGACAGTAGCATCACAGACCAGAGTGCTGCGTACTTTGCACTCACAACATCTATCGAGGTGCCACGCGAGGTCGGATTTTGTGGTTCGATACGAATCGAGTTCAATATGTTCTTACCACAGCGCAAGATAACGCTCGAAGTCGATGCTTCACCCAAAGTTGCGATTTGGTCCATGTCGGACATGCCCAAAAATGTTAATTGGCTGCGCAGATTTGAGACGGGAGTCTCTCTTACACCCCGAAACGGGTCCAAGTAAAGGGGTTCCCCTGGCTCCATCCCACTTAAAGCATTGCCATTGAGGTCTGAGCCCGGCGGGGGGTAATGATCACATGCACATGAAATGGGAATCCACAAGGACGGGCGTTCAGGCCTACCCCCTGCGCAACAAAGCAGTATATCGCTGCTGACACCAATGGCAGAGAGTTATGTTCTGGGCCCTTTAGAGCTAGCCCTAAAAAGTTGTGCTCCAAAGAATGATATTCCCGCTCTGGATTGATCCCCGTGAGATCATTCAACCCTAGCCAGGATGCTACGGCTAGTGCCTTCTCACGAGGGGTGGAGAGGTAAAGATCTGGGTGAGACGCAATAAAGCGGTCGAGGATCTCATTCAGAGACTCTCGTATCTAGATCAAAGTTAGGGATAGGTTCGTCAAGTTACACTGGGATAACACCTACTTCATCCAAGTCACCAGTTCCACTCTCGGGTATAAAGAGATCAAAGCAGGCCAAGGCTTTGTCGAGTGACACAGGTTCTCCCCGTTTGAGCTTCGCCCATTCTGGTATGGCAATACTTCGATGCAGGCAAGTCAAGAGCGCGTGGGCATAGTACCTTTTGTGGTTGGCACGAGGCACTCTGGTCAATTTGAGGGAAACACATGCCAACTTGCATAGAATTAGTAGCCCACCTTCTAGCCAAATAATCCTCCCCAGCCTCTATCAAGCTATATCGTAGAAGAGTATCCTTTGCATCGTATCCCATATTGATAACACGGCGAAACTTCTCGATCCGGCCGGTCTGGCTACCAAGAATACTATCAAGAAGTTGAGTGACAGATCGATCAACCTGATACTTGAAGACAAAGAGCGCTTTCCAATCGGTTGAATTCACTGGGTATGCAAGTTTCCGGGGCATATCATGTCGTCCATCCCAGAACTTGTAATGCGATTGGCAATGGTGACGCCATAGTAAACGCTCATTTGTCACATTTTGAAATCGACTGTTGGTTTGTTCGACGGCGGCGCAGGATTGAGGAGTAGAATAACATAGAATCGAATGCAGGATTTCGTCTGGAAGATGGATTAAAGACCGAACCATCCCTGAAGGTGGAAGATTGATGGGAGGAGAAGAGAAGACAATCAGAATGAAAGAACAGCTTCACATTCCTCTAAAGAAAATCAAAGTAGAGAAAGAAAAAAAAAAAGTAGAACAGTGAGGGAGAGTAGGAAAGTGAAAAGGGAAAATAGCACCGAGGCAACCTTTGGATGTTTCTCTCCCCGCCCTCTTATCGGATGCCAAGCCTTGAACTTCGATGTTGTTTTTTTTTTTCTTTTTTTGCTTCTACTTGTAGAATACTTATAGAGATTCTACTATGATCTCCTTGAGATATTTAAAAAAAAAAGTTGCTTCAGAACTGCGATCATTGCGGTATTCGCCATTCTCCCCTATTATCTCTCTCTCTTATACGCCATGGGTCAATTTCATTCCACTAGCCAGGCAAGCTCCGGTGCTTCGGAACAATCAGACCGGAAGACCGACTATTATGAGCTGCTTGGTGTAACACGTGGTGCAACAGATGAAGAGTAAGTTTCTATTGAAAATGTTGATGGGATATAACTAAAACTTGCCCTCTCAGGATCAAAAAAGCTTATCGAAAAAAAGCTCTTGTGTTGCACCCAGATCGAAATTATGGGAATGTTGACGAGGCTACGAAACTGTTCGCCGAAATCCAATCCGCCTACGAAGTACTGGCAGATCCCCAGGAGCGAGCATGGTACGACTCCCATAGCGATGCATTTTTAGGGACAAACGGAAATACCGATGATCAACACTCGTATAATGTTCGAATCACAACAGCCGAAGATGTCCTCAAACTCTTTTCAAAGTTCAGTCCTCGAATGGAATTCTCCGACTCTCCGACCGGATTCTTCGGTGGTTTGCGAGAGCAATTCGAACAGCTCGCGCTGGAAGAAAGATTGGCATGTCAGTGGGAGAATCAAGATCCCATTCAATATCCATCATTCGGATCTAGTAACGATGATTTTGAGAACGTTGTACGGCCCTTCTATGCTGCATGGTCCGGGTTCTCCACCCAAAAATCATTCGCATGGAAAGATGCTCATCGTTATTCTGAGGCGCCTGATCGCCGAGTGCGACGAATGATGGAAAAAGAGAACAGGCGTCTTCGAGAAGAAGGCATCCGAGAATTTAACGATGCTGTCAGGTCCCTCGTGGCTTTTGTCAAAAAACGTGACCCACGTTATAAAGTCAATGTCCAGAGTGAGGCTCAACGCCAGGAAACTCTCCGCCAGTCTGTGGCTGCACAAGCTGCAAGATCACGAGCTGTGAATCAATCCAGGATGCGGGATCATGTACTCCCCGAGTGGGCCCAGTCAGAACCGCCAGTGGCAGCTGACGACCAGGAGAAGAACGAAGAGAGTGAAGAGAGCGAAGTCGAGAGTTTTGAATGTGTTGTATGCCACAAATTTTTCAAAAGCCAGAAGCAATTTGAGGCGCACGAACGTAGCAAGAAGCATTTGAAGGCAGTCAAACAGCTATGCTGGGAGATGCGAATGCAGAATGACGAATTGGATTTGGAGTCCGCTGAGGACTTGAGTGCCAATGCAGTTAAACCTCTTGAGGTTGATGACGGGAAAGATGAGGTTGATGCTGCCTCACAGGTCGATCTGGAATCAGATGCCTTGAAGAGCCACGGCATTGATGCTGAGGATCAAGGAAATTCGTATGGTCCAGAGGAAACAACTACTCTTTCCGAGCCAAACTCCCCAACGTCTTCGCACGATGACGATTATGCCTCTCGGGAATATGTCGAGACGAGGCTCCGCACTGATATGGATTATTTGTCTACAGGCGCTGGAAACTCTGATATACCTGATCACCCGTTATCTTCGGACCTCACCGAGCAGTCACCAACTCTCAAGATGGGCAAGGCCAAGCAGAAACGGGCGAAAAAGGCCGCGAAGCAAGCAGATCAGCCCGGGTTTATATGTGCAAATTGCCAGGCTCCCTTCATGTCCAAGTCTAAATTATTCGATCATATTAGAGACCTCGACCACGCACAACCCTTGACCGGGTCTGTTGCCAGAAAGGGGAGGAAACACTAAGAACACATCCATGAGGCTCATTTACCGTTTCAAATAAAGATAAAAGAGAGTAAGAAAGATGTCAAGTCCGTTGAGTCTTATTTTTTATTTTGTTCGGTGGTTTTAGCAAGGCATATGCCGACTGGAGAAATATTCCCCTTGACACAAATCTAAACATCTAACCTAACCCAGCCCGCGAGTTCTTCACGACCTGCGCGACAGGCTGCAAAATTCCCTTGTTGTCGGCGGCACCCAGAGCAGTACCTGTACTCCATCCCATCTTCTCCAGCATAGCCCGCCCTCGGTTTTCAGCTCCGATTTCCGGAGCAGAGGCGCCAACCACGTCACCATCCATATATGAAGCAGCACCGGACTTTCCACGCTTGGGTTGGGAGAACTTCTGCACTTCTGTGCCCCATGATTTGAACAACCGACGGTTGAACTTCCTCCCGGATAAGAGCTCGTCAACGTTAGATATAGTCTTTGGTGTATATCGCGGAGTGCGCGCGGTCTTATTGAGGACCGGGAAGCGAGAAAGTCCATTGCCGCGTGACTGCGATTTCAGATTCAGTGCATTGGCCAACTCATGTATCAGCTTTCTGCGTTGCTTGGTCATGGGCGGTAAGGACAGGCTATATTGGGTTAGCTAGATTGATGAGAACGAGCAGATATACAACGAACCTATTTTTAGCGGACATGAGGAATGAGCGAAGCTCGGTCATAAATTCCTCCATGTTCATTTCCTTGGGGTACTTGACCTTGAGGTCTGGGTTCCCTGCTTTTCTTCCCAGTAGTCCTTGCGCTCGGAGCTCTTCTCGCTCCATCTTCCGCAGCCTCTTTTTGGTTCGGTCGTTCTGCCAGGCCTCCTGAAGCTCGACCTCGAATTCACTGTCGGATAGTACCGGGTCGGGGACGAACTGCTTGCCCTTGGATTTTTTCGTAAACTTGGCCGGTCAAAGTCCATTATGTCAAACCCGAAATATGGGTCAGACTCAAGAGCATCCGCAAGTGCCGATGCCGATGGAAATGAAGGCTTTCCGTGACGGGAACCCTTTTTGAGTGACCCAGAATATCCATTCGCCAGGTCCTCGAGCAGCACGAAATCTTCAAAGTTGTCATCATCTGATCCAGAGATGACCATGTCGCGTTCGTCATCTTCGCTTGATGTTGAAATTGAGTCATGTTCGGTGTCAATTTGCATCCGAGCTAACGATCTTGGTGATTCGATATTGAAGCCTGTGGGGCTTGAAGCCGACAGATCTAGTTGAGTTGCGGCTTTTTCGACGTCAATACCACCTTCTAAATCGATCTTTGCTCCGGATGTCACTGCCTCGTGGTAGTCATTGTCGATGTTGGCAATATAGTCGGCTAGTGGGTCTGTCTCTTCTTCGGGTGGCCAGTCTAATCTCTCTGTGTTGAATTCGGGGTGCCTTGTAGGGGAAGCAGCAGGTGAAGGGTCCCTGGGCGTAGAGTCCACCGATAGAGTCGGTGATTTCTGCATATATGCAGCAGTAGTCGTCTGCACAATTTCTTGAATTTCGCTCTGATGCGTTTCGATGAGAACAGTTTTTGTATTCCTCCTGCCAGTAAACACAACCTCATCCTCACTGGAGTCGTCTATGTCCGATAACGACTGCAATACTGGGTCTGGATGTTCGGCATGAACAACTCCTTGTCCCTTAGAGTCGAAGAAGAATGGAAGCTCAATGTCGGGCTTTTCGTCCGGTATATGGTCGGTCTTTGGTTCCTCCCCATCCATGTCCGATCTTGTTTGATCCTCGTCTGCTTCCAATGTCGGTTCCAAGCTTCCTGCACTCACAAAGTGAACAGCTTTATGACGAAGGTTGCTGTCTGCCCATGATCGCTGATGGGTTTCGGTATTCCGAGCTTCTTGCTGCATAGTAAACTGGTGTGGCGATGGGTCTTTAGGAGTTAGTATTCATCAAAGGAATAGGAGCACATTAATTACCTCTACCCCTTGGGGCCCTGGTGCGGGCCTTAGATTTCCCATGACGGGCCATGGGTGGTGAATCTGATATGTTGATGGGGGGAAAAGAAAAAAAAAAACAAGGGAACCTTTTGCCTTTGGGTCGGGTCCGGGCGGTGACTGACATTCTATAAAATGTAACAAATATAAGTGTATACGCTTTTTTTGGGTTTTATATTTTTTTTCAGACGGAAAGATATCCAATAGAGACTATATAGTGTGTAGAGCTCTGGAGACTTGGTGCATAGAGAGTAGTCAAGTCGGTGACGTCTTGGCTCGTGACTGAAAGCCTTCCCCTCATCGATTCGACTTGTAGAGCTTCTGTTTTTTTTTTTAATCTTCTAAATCTCTATTTCTGTCTGGGGTTCTCCTTTCTATTTATAAGCTTGATCACTTAAGTTGGTTTTCAAGATTGGATATTATACCTAGGTATATATATATATATATCCCTAACCACCTCTGATCTTGAAATCACCCACAATCACATTAACTACCATACAACAGATCCACGGAAAACCAGCACCAACCATGACCGTGGACATGGAAAAGTGCAAACGCATAGTACAATACTTTTGGGACCCTGAACCCAGAAATGATGTACCTGCGGCGTCGATATCGTGTTTGGGCAGGGAGTATGCCCCGCAACCATCCAGTGACAGTGAGTCTTCAAGTTAATATATAGCCCCATATTTCACGCTTAACATCCCATACAGTCAACCCACACAGTCCCTCAAGACAGCCAGATGCTAGTACATTAAATGATACAGCATGGCCAAAAGCATTTCTCTCCGATTTTGGATCGAGGATCTGGATCACATATCGATCAAATTTCACACCGATCCCACGAACAAAGACACCAGAAGCAACATCCTCGATGACATTGGGGGTACGCCTGAGAAGTCAGCTCATGGATCCCCAGGGCTTTACATCAGATACTGGGTGGGGCTGCATGATCAGATCTGGACAAAGCCTTTTGGCAAATACGTTTTCAGTTCTATTACTAGGACGAGGTGAGAGACGCATCCAATGCCTGAAATAAAATAAAAGACAAAACAAAACATCCCAAAAAAAAAACACTCGAGCGCTAATCAGATATACTAGACTGGCGTCGAGGGGAGAAAGTGGAGGAAGAGTCAAAGCTAATATCAATGTTCGCCGATCACCCGAATGCTCCCTTCTCCATACATCGATTTGTCAATCACGGTGCAGAATCATGCGGGAAATACCCAGGTGAATGGTTTGGGCCGTCGGCAACTGCGAAATGTATTCAGTACGTGCTACCAACACTCGAATCATGGAGTGATGCTGATGGTGACAGGCTACTTTCAACAGAAAGTGAGGCTCCCCAACTTAGGGTCTATGCAACCAATGACACCTCGGACGTCTATGAAGACAAATTCGCACACGTGGCCCACGACAAATCAGGCCAAATTCAGCCAACACTCATCCTGATTGGGACCAGGTTGGGGATCGATAATGTCACCCCAGCGTACTGGGACGGACTCCGAGCTGCGCTGACATACCCCCAATCCGTTGGCATTGCAGGGTAGGTTCATGTGTCTGTTCGATATGAAGTGTTCGCTAACCAAAATAGCGGACGCCCATCGGCATCGCATTACTTTGTAGGGGCTCAAGACTGCCATCTCTTTTTCCTTGATCCCCATACCACCCGACCTGCAACGTCATATCGACCAAATGGGCTATACACCCAAGAGGAACTGGATAGCTATTACACCTGCCGACTGCGGAGAATCCATATCAAGGACATGGATCCCAGCATGCTTATCGGATTTCTCATCAAGAATGAAGATGATTGGGCTGACTGGAAGAAACGAATACAATCTACGCCTGGGCAGCCCATTGTGCACATCTTCCCCAGTCAGCATCAGCCAGATCATGGCCATGGTCGGGCCGAGGCTCTGGATGAAGTTGAGGCGCTGGACGATTCTGAGATGGAGATATAAACCAGATGCAGCTGGCCTCTTTCTTGTTCTAATTTGTGCCTTGGGAAAAATGTACTAGGAGAAATAGAATCATGATGCAATGCAATTAAGCATTTGGAATTTCGCGTTCTAGTAGGGGAGGCCAATCCATGCCTGCCCCAGACCCGAGTTATGTTACACCGCATTCACGTATCGAGTGGTAACCATTCAAAAAAAATCACCCATCGGGGAAAAGAAAATTCAAGCCATCCCATGACGCATTAGAAACCCGCAAAACACCCATAACCGACCACCTCAGAGCCCATAACAGATCAAGAGGTAGTAAAAACAAAAGCAAGCTGGAAATAAAACGTAAAGAATCCGCTTATTTGGCGGAGGAAGAGTACTTGGTCACGGCCTTGGTGCCCTCAGAGACGGCGTGCTTGGCCAGCTCACCGGGGAGGATGAGACGCACAGAGGTCTGGATCTCCCGGGAGGAGATGGTAGACTTCTTGTTGTAAGCAGCCAGCTTGGAGGCCTCGGTAGCGACACGCTCGAAAATGTCTAGAAAATGAACAAGTCAGAAAACATGACGTGGTAAACGCGTAAACGCGTTTTTTTGTGAAAAAAAAAAAACATACCGTTGACGAAGGAGTTCAGGATGGACATGGCACGAGTAGAGATACCAGTGTCGGGGTGGACCTGCTTGAGGACTGGAAATGGAGTTAGCATGGACGCGTTTTTTCCCCCTGGTGGTTCATGTTGTTTTCAAGAATCAACTCACCCTTGTAGATGTAAGAAGAGTAGGTCTCCTTGCGGGTCTTGCCGCGCTTCTTCTTCTCGCCAGTGGCAGCGGTGGCAGTCTTCTTGCCAGCCTCCTTCTTCTCAGCAGGGGCCTTGCCGCCAACGGGGGCCTTGCCACCGGTGGAGGGCTTCTTCTCAGCGGCCTTAGGGGGCATTTTGAATGTGATTTGGAAAGTTTGGAAAAAAAAGAGTTGAAAGAGTTAAAAGAGTAAAGATGGATGAAGCGTGTGGGTGGGAAACAGAGATGGAATGTGGAAGGGTAAGTTAGAGAGACGCGGTGACGAGGGGAGAGACCGTCTTTATACTCGTGTTCCCAAGGCCAGTTGATCCTGGAGGGGGGTGCAAAGGAGGCCGAATTTCAATACGGTAACAACTTGGTATGATCTGTATGATTAAACTGACATTTACGCGTCTTAAGGTGGGAAAGGTGGGGTAGAATCACGCTCAGCTGACTGTCAGGTATGGTAATGGATTTATATTACCACACCATTCCTAAAGCGGAATGTCTGATCTGATTGATCATTGGCTACAACATCTAAGCGAGACCGTGATCTGGAGGACCATTGATGCCGCCCCAACGTCACCCTCACCGCGTCCTTATAAAGGTCCTCCGCTTCCACACGCTCTCCCACCTGCTCTTGCGACTTTACACCATAACTTCAGCTCTCAATCTTCAATCTTCTCTTCCTTTTTCCACAAAAAACCACACCCTTTTTCCCTCTCAAAACCATCAAAATGACTGGCGGAAAGTCCGGCGGCAAGGCTAGCGGCAGCAAGAACGCGCAGTCGTAAGTTGTTTACATTTCGCGTCTTTTTTGATATACGTTTCATACTGACATCAATATCTCCAGCCGTTCCTCCAAGGCTGGTTTGGCCTTCCCCGTTGGCCGTGTCCACCGTCTGCTCCGCAAGGGCAACTACGCCCAGCGTGTCGGTGCCGGTGCTCCCGTTTACCTCGCTGCCGTTCTCGAGTACCTCGCTGCTGAGATTCTCGAGTTGGCTGGAAACGCCGCCCGTGACAACAAGAAGACCCGTATCATTCCCCGTCACCTCCAGCTTGCCATCCGTAACGATGAGGAGCTGAACAAGCTCTTGGGCCACGTCACTATTGCCCAGGGTGGTGTTCTCCCCAACATCCACCAGAGTATGTTATCACTTTTCAACTCTATTCTTGCATACACTAACATCATTTCCAGACCTTCTCCCCAAGAAGACTCCCAAGGCCGGCAAGGGCAGCCAGGAGCTGTAAGGGTTCTATCTTTTTTCGCGGGTTGTTTGTTTTCTTTTCCGGCGCGGATTGGTTCTTTGACACGATAATGGGGTTATGGGACGGGCACGTTATGGCTCTGCGTTTTCTCTTTTTTTTCCATCAATTTCCTGGTTGTACATTATGTCTACGGACATGGAATGATACCGACGACCTTAACTTGCTTGAGGGATTTCAACTTTCGGATACTAGCTCTGGGCATGAGCCCAAATCAATGAAAACTCCAGGTCTTTCAAGTGTTAAAATCCACCAACTTGCCTTTCGTACTTGTATACATTGTACATATAATAAATCATATTCTTGATGACTCGCTGTTCTTGCGGATATATATTGTACATGAACGAAATTGTAGATTCTAGACTCTGCTTTGGGTACTCTACATCTGTAGGAAAGACGCGAACTTTATGTTGCATAGTTCATGTTTGCAATTGGTCCAATCCTCATATTGTGTTTTGCGATATTGATTTGACTTAGTGTGCACTGGGGGGTTGGGCATCTATATTGTTTCATGGTTAATGTAAATTCGAGGTTGCATAAGGATGTGATGTGAACGTACATGGCAGGATTCGGGCCGGCAGGTTGCGCTCCCATTTGTTGCCGCCGGGTGCAGTAGGTGCCCGGTATGGGTCGGGGTGCTTCCAGGTCTCCAAGAGCTTCTCTGTCTCGCGCAGCAAAACCTAGAGGGTGTGTTAGGTTTGCCAAACATGGGAATTCAATTTCACATACCTGTTGCTGGCGAGGATCGCGGACGTCCTTGTTGGCTTCGAAAAGGGATCGGATATAAACTGCTTGTCCACGCCAGATCTGCCGGTGGACCGCCCAGTCAAGGGACAGTTTCAGGGAGCGCCGGTAGAGCGACCTGCAGTAGATCAGTGAAGAGTCCCTCTAGGGGAACACCAGGTTACTCACTTAACAGCGTAGGTGGACATTGTGCTCAAGTTTTGTCCCGGGTCCAATTCCGGTCAGCTAAAAGAGGAATAGGAAAACAGAAAAGAGCGTGTTTAATACACAGGTCTATCAAACAGAAATGACAACCTTCGAAGATTGTTAGTGTTCCTGGGGGACAATGTTTTGGGGTTGAGGGTTTCAATGTCGTCAGGTTGACTATTCTGGGCTTCCTAATTCGTTCGGCATGGAACTTGCACGAATGGTTGCTACCCTGCCCCGTAGCAAAATCTGCTTGAATGGTCTCCCCCCTCGCCGTAGAAGAAGAATAGTCCGCCTCTGCCGGAAAGGTGCCCGGTTTACCTTAGGACCCGATCTAATCCGAGCTTGATATTCTTTGCTTCCTCTAATTTTTAGAGTTGAAGCTTTTTCTCTTATCTACAAATCCGGTCCGGCTTTCTACCAGCTGAACAAATTTTGCTTTAATTCATCATGGCTTCTCGAATCTCTATTGCGCGCCTCTCGGGCCAGCGCTTCTCGGCTGTGGCCAGAACCACTCCTCGGGCATCAAGCCAGTTCCGCAATGTCAAGGGATTGTCTACCCTCACGCGGAAGACTTCGGCTCGATCAGCTTCGGGCTTGTTGCAGGTCTCTTCCTCCGGGTAAGTGTATCTATGTTATTACCATTCGTCGCAATTTTGGCTCATACAACCTTATAGCATCAATGTCTCGCGACTCAACCTTTCTCCTCTGGGAGGTCACCAACTCCGCACCTATGGTAAACACTTTTCCTAAGCAGTCTTGTTGGCCAATTGCTAATAGTGCTTAGCCGACTCCATCATTAAGGTCCCCAGCATGGCCGAGTCGATCACAGAGGGTACCCTCAAGCAGTTCTCAAAACGTATGGTGCTTTAACCGTGGTTGAACATTTTGAACATTTACTCATTCTGGTATAGAGGTTGGCGATTTCGTCGAGCGTGACGAGGAAATTGCGACGATTGAAACAGACAAGGTAAATACCAACTTCGCCCCCACCCTCACGACAAGTACTGTTGAATAACCTGAGTTTTCTGTTAGATTGACGTTTCAGTCAATGCCTCAGAGTCTGGTACCATCAAGGAGTTCCTCGTGAACGAGGAAGATACTGTTACTGTCGGCCAGGATCTCGTCAAGATCGAGCTTGGCGCCGCTCCCGAAGGCGGAAAGAAGGACGAGGGCGCCGAAAAGCCCAAGGAGCCCGAACCCAAGGAGCCTGAGCCCAAGAAGGATGCTTCGCCCGCTCCCGCCGAGACCCAGAAGCCCAAGGAGCCCGAACCTAAGAAGGCTGCGCCCCCAAGCAGGCACCCAAGACCGAATCCAAGCCCCAAGCTGCTGAACAGCCAGCTCTTGGTGGCCGCGAGGAACGCCGGGTATGTTGACCACCAATATGCCTTTTGAACTTCGGGCTTAAGCTAATTTTGGTCTAGGTCAAAATGAACCGTATGCGTCTGCGTATTGCTGAGCGCCTGAAGCAGTCCCAGAACACCGCCGCTTCTCTCACCACTTTCAACGAGGTCGACATGTCCTCTCTGATGGAGTTCCGGAAACTGTACAAGGACGATGTGCTCAAGAAGACCGGTGTGAAGCTTGGTTTCATGAGCGCCTTCTCCCGTGCTTGTGTGCTTGCCATGAAGGATATCCCCGCTGTCAACGCTTCCATTGAGGGTCCCAACGGCGGTGATACCATTGTCTACCGCGACTACGTTGACATCAGCGTTGCAGTCGCCACCGAGAAGGGACTTGTGACCCCTGTTGTCCGTAACACCGAAGGCAAGGATCTTGTTGGAATCGAGAAGGCCATTGCCGATCTCGGAAAGAAGGTGAGCAGTCGTTTTTCCGGGGAAGGGATGTCCAGTTTACTGACTTGTAATAGGCTCGTGACAACAAGTTGACCATTGAGGACATGGCCGGTGGTACCTTCACCATCAGCAACGTATGTTTCCTGTCTTCGTGTGTGTTTTGAGAATAACACGGCTAACATAACTCAGGGTGGTGTCTTCGGCTCGCTGATGGGCACACCGATCATCAACGTTCCTCAAACAGGTTAGTTCTCTCGCACTATATTTTCTGGGGTGGCTTCGAATCTAATTTTGTCTAGCTGTCTTGGGTCTCCACGCCATTAAGGACAAGCCTGTCGCTGTGAACGGCAAGGTTGAGATCCGTCCCGTACGTACAAGCAATCCAATCACTTTTTCCCTTCAGTTTACTAATATTTCTAGATGATGTACCTGGCTCTTACCTATGACCACCGTCTCTTGGATGGCCGTGAGGCCGTTACTTTCCTTGTTAAGGTATGTCAACCTCTTTATCCGCCCGAAAATCACCCACTAATCCCATCGCAGGTCAAGGAATACATTGAGGACCCCCGGCGCATGCTGCTTGGTTAAGTGACATGAGTGTTTTGTCACGCGCCTTTCATTATCTGTGTTCTCTCGTACCTAGAGCGGCCAATTGCGCCCTTTGTAAATTATTATGTTCCAAGATATAAATGCCATGTCAAGGACAGGTCTTGTGGGCTCTAAGTACTATCTTGTGTTGTATGTTGCCTTCGATGTTTATCGACTTAAAAATTGATTGAGATTGAATCAAAGTGGTGATCAAGTTGGTGTACATGTGGTATTGCGTTTCAAACAAATCCGTGGATCTCTGGCCCTCACACGTCCGCTCGATTTGACATCACACATAGGAGCACATGAAAGGGCATCTTCTGTCTTTTTGAGTGAGACTATTACAATCCACAATACTCTCGAACTTGCTGTGTCTCCTCCCGGGTCAAACCTTCCAACTGACCATGCTCCAGCTGAAGAAGAAGAGGCACATCCAGGATATCCATGAAATCAACGAAAAAATCAACGAAACGATTCTGCAGGAATTGGGGAGGGAATGTTTTCTCAAGCTCCTCTCGGCTCATTGGATCCGCGGTACCAAATGGGGGTGGGACATGCTCCAGGAACATTGTACGGCTGACTTCCCACCATATATCGAGTTCGTCGTCGTTGGTTCTCCAATTGCAGAGTCTCTGGAGTTGGTCTGGGAAGCGCGCTTGTTCTTCCAGCATCGCATGAACCATGAAGTGGGCACCAAGGTCGAACCAACGTCTCCGGGATACGTTGTCGATTGCGGAGTGACAGAGGTCCATGAACTGAACTGCGATGTCGGACAGGGGCACAAAGTGACCGAGGTCGCGATCTTTAGGAGGGTCCCAGTGGAGAAGCAGATTGGACAGGTAGAAGATGCGCAATTTAAGGTCCAGATCCCAGGGCAGAGGGCCTGAAAGATGATGACCGAGAACAAGCCGGTGGATTTCTAGAGCAGTTAGTATGGTCCGTTGCTATGAAGTTCTGGTGCTTACGTTCAACAAAAAGTGCAAACCATTCAATGTCCTCGGTTGGTCTTCCTTCAAGTATCGCTTCTAGGAGGCCACTGACACACAGGCAGACCATGTAGTCGAGGATCAACAGATCCACAGTGGCTCGAATGCCAGGATTTTGATCCGCCATTTTGAGGTCAACGCTGTGGGGGGGAATCAGATGCAAGGTATGTGAGCGATCCCAGAGGGTTCCATGATGCCCTGGGAATGCAGCTGTTCCCACGGCGATTTTGATGCACTTAGTCGTGATTAGTCGGCGATGTCTATGATGATTTTTGATATGTTCACGTGACTTCTCTGGTGCATTCACTTGGAATTGAAATATTTTTATTTGAAAACTATAACATGATAATAATATAGTATCAGAATATAATCTAGAAAGATTCAAATACGAGATAGAACTCGAATGTAAATGTCACGTGTGAATGCGGATATCATGGCGTCATTATATATAGTCACATGTATACATACTATGTAATTGGCAAACTTCTCTCTTCACACATCCTTTCATGTTTAGTATACCAAAACTTAGCAAAGCAACACGGGCTATGACCATGGCGTGGTATTGTTCTGGATCCACCAACACCGAGTTGATTGAGAACCTATTCAAGGCTGGACTGATTCAGAATGAGCGTGTGAAAGATGCCATGATTGGAGTGAGCATATTATGCATATATATTTCCATCTTTTCTAACATGCAAAAGGTCGATCGAGCACATTATGCTCCATCACGACCATATTCAGACTCGCCTCAGCCCATTGGATATGGAGCCACCATATCAGCACCGCACATGCATGGCCATGCATGTGAGTATCTGATTAATTATCTCAACCCAGGTGCTCGGGTGTTGGATATTGGATCTGGTTCAGGATACTTGACCCATGTCCTTGCCAATTTGGTGACCGACTCCAACACCCAGGGACAGGTGATTGGTATTGACCATATCTCCGAGCTGACAGAATTGGCTCGCACCAACATGGACAAGTCCAAGAAAGGTAGTGAATTCCAGGCATCCACAACTGTCAAGTTTATTACCGGTGATGGACGCCTTGGATGGAAAGAAGGTGCACCGTACGATGCCATCCATGTTGGCGCCGCGGCCGACCAGCTTCATCCAACCCTGGTGGACCAACTGCGTGCTCCTGGGAGACTCTTCATTCCAGTGGAATCGGAAGATGAGAGTACCGGTCTCAACGGGGGTCAGTATATCTGGGTGGTGGATAAAGGAGAAGATGGATCCATTCACAAGGAGAAGGTCTTCCAAGTTCGCTACGTGCCCTTGACGGATGCTCCACGAGGATGATATTACAATCCAGACACTTTTTTTCCTTTTTCTTTTTCTTTTCTTTCCTCTCTTTTATAGAGGCCTTTATTTAATTCAATCAAATTCCAAAATAAAAAGAAGTGTGCTTTCCTAAACTTATTTCCATGAATAGCTTTCCAAATACATCGACTCCAGGAACACCTATGTTCCACACAGACAATCCAATCAGCGGAATCCACCAGGGAATTTGAAATTTCCCTGGAATTGAGGACCACCCTGTTGGAAGAAGAATTGCTGGCCACCACCACCGAATGGGTTGCCTTGGAACTGACTGCCCCGCTGTTGCGATTCAGGATCATTGGGATCATCGCCATTATCAAACCGTGTCCGGAGTTCGGAGTCAGATAGAACCTCGTAGGCTTCGTTGATGGCCGCCATCTTCTTCTCTGCTTCTTCCTTGCTTACACCCTGCGCGTGGGCCTTATCAGGGTGGTGTTGTTTCACTAGTTGGCGATAGGCGCGTTTGATCGTCCGATCATCTGAATCACGGCTGATACCCAGGACTTTGTAGTAATCTTTTTGCTTGGAACGCTTGAGCAGGGCCTGAGCCTTTTGGCGGAGAGATTGCGCTTCTTGGGAACTGGGGTGGTGTTCCTTGACCAATTCGAGCGTACGTATGGCATCCTCGAATCGATCCTCATCCAAAGCGGTCTGAGCCTGATACAGGAGCCCGGCAAGCGAGTGAGGGACAAGCTGGAGAGCTTCAGCGCAGTAAGGACCAGCCTTTTTGATCATACGCATCTATAGTATGTTAGTGACAAGAAACCAAACCCTGTGACGTGGGTACTCACTTCACGGTAAGCCTCGCAGGTCTTCTCGACTAGGAATGTATAAAGATTATTTGGCGCCAGGCGATGGATATGGTTAGCCTGTCGTGCTTCTTCAACATCGGCCTTAATGTCTGCAATCAGCCCACTAGATTCGCTATCGCCGACCATGAGATTTGCTGCATTGCTGAATTTGCGTGCGCCGAGGGCAGTATGCAATTTTTCTAGCTGCTTGACAAGCTTCCGTTCACGTCGATAGAGACGGTTGCAGGGTTTCGAGTCGGGATCAGCATGGAGACATTTACGGATTTGAGCAAGGCCACGGTCACTGTCTCCTAGAGAGTAGAACAGCATAGACGACATTTGCAGGTGAGGTTCGACCAGGCTCGGGGACATTTGTAGGACATGTGCCAGATCACTGAGCCCTTCTTCCGTCTCCCCCTTTTCAAAGTGACAATGTGCTCGAGCCTGCCGCAGAGGTAGTGCCGTATTTGCCTTTAGGATAGCCGCATTTGCCTCCGAGACACATGTCTCCCAGTCGCCCTGCTTTTCGGCGCTAAGAGCCAAGGTGGCCGCATCGCGTGCGGCTTCTAATTCCTTGTAATCATCCGTCGACTTCTTCCCGGCCTTCTCAAGATCCCGCAAGGCCTCTTGCCAATGCGCAGAGCGTGCCTTTAAGCGCGATCGCTGTAGAAGAGCGCCCTCGAAGTCTGGCTTGAGTTCTAGAACTCGATCAAAGTCGCTCGAGGCTTGTGAGTTTTTGCCAATGGACAGATAAGCCGCGCCCCGCTGGAAGATAGTGATATAGTTGGTTGGATCGCGCGAGACGGCGGCGTCGAAGTATACCACGGCATCTCGGGGTGAGCCTTGCGCGAGATGGGCTTTGGCGGAAGAAATCAGTTCAGATAGAGGTGTATCCGAGGGAATTTCAAGGGCATATCCAGCCGAGAAACAAGCCAGAAAGGTCGTGAGTGATTCCAAGGAAACAAGCATTTTGGGGGTTATGCGACGCAGTAGTAATGCAGTAACGATGTAGTAAAGGTGTAAACGAGGGTTTTGGTGTAGAATTAGTCTCCCTAGGAGTGCGAAAAGAAGGGCATAATCTAAAAATCCGGGCCAAAATAGAAAAGTGCAAAGAGCAAAGAACAATGGAAAGTCGAAAGCTGGATGAGCATACTCCGTGGCCTTTACGCCCTATTGTTCCGTTACCGTCATGTGACATGGAATTGTCAATCGCCTTCACTCCGTATTTTTTTGGTCATTTACTGACAAGTATGCTCGTCAAGTCAATATGTCGAACTATCTTGCCTAGGCTTGGTCTAAAATTGTCGCCTTTACGAGGTGTACATACTGGTAAGACCGGTTTTTGGTTACTTTCTGATCAATGCTAATTTGCGAAGCATCCGATGCTACCTTATCTCCGGCTCTCTTAACTAGAGCCCGCCTACTTGCAGCTGAACATACAAAGCTTTCGGAACGGCTGGGAGAGTCATTTGATGCAAAGACCGCCAAGCGAGCCGGGGAATTGGCACCGATTGCAAATATCTTGAAAGAATGGGTCAATGCCAACGATGTATGCGCTTTGGAGTCTTTTATTGGAGCCCTTACTAATTCCACTAGTCTATCGTCGAGCTCAGATCCCTACTAACTGATCCCAGCACCGATGCTGAACTACGGTCTTTGGCAACGGAAGACCTTGAGAGCAGTCGCGATGCCTTACCAACGATATCAGACCGACTGAAGAAGGCTCTCATTCCGCGACATCCATTTGCAGACCTTCCTTGCTTGCTGGAAATCCGACCCGGTGCAGGTGGAGATGAGGCAGGCTTGTTCGCTTTTGAGATGTTACGGATGTACGTTGCCTTTTGCTCCCGAAGGGGCCTTCGCCCAACAATTTTGAAGCAGGACACAGAGGTCGGTCCGTCCGACGACCGTCTCAGTGAAGCGGTAATTGAAATTGAAGCCAATGGTGCGTATGACATATTACGGACTGAATCGGGGGTACATAGGGTGCAGAGAGTACCCGCAACCGAGACCAAGGGTCGCACCCATACCAGCGCCGTCAGCGTAATGGTCTTGCCGAGTTTTCCAGAGGACGGCAGTGAGATGGATAGTGCCCTGAACTTTGAAGATCCAAACAGCGATTACTACATTGACCCACAAGAGGTGCGGGTTGAAAAGATGAGGGCTGGAGGTGCTGGTGGACAACACGTCAACAAAACCGAGTCCGCCATTCGACTGACCCATATTCCCACGCATACGGTCGTCTCCATGCAAGACGAACGGTCCCAGCAGGCCAATCGGAGAAAGGCGTGGCAGATGCTACGGGCAAAGTTGGCCGAAGCCCGGCAAGAAGCCCGCGAGCAAGAGCTCATGCAACTCAGACGAGGTATACTGGGTGGTGTGGCTAAAATGGGCCGAGGCGATAAAATTCGAACCTACAATTTTGGTCAAAGTCGCTGCACTGATCATCGCACAGGCATCACGATCCACAATCTGGATAGTATCCTTGATGGCGGTGATGGTTTGGACACTGTGATGGATAGTGTGCGGACCTGGATGGCTGATAGTGAAGTTGAGGCCATGGTTGCCGAGGACATGGCAAAAGCAAGAGAGTAAATAGCAGAGTCATTCTTCTCATGTACAAAGATACCATGTATTCTATTAAGGTCCGAATCTATTCTACAAATACTTTCCCTCAGGATCCAAGAGGTCGAGCCCATCCATAGCTTTCTCATACCTATCCAACAGTTAGCAACTTTCATATGACTTGGGTCGATCACAAACATGGTGAACACAATTCCTCCACTCATGATCAATCTCGCAAGTCGCGGCATAGCGCCAGACCACAAAGTGAAGACACCTTCATCCTTGATGATTCTTGTTGCGCAAACAATGCTGTTCTTGTAATGCTTGCTGGCCTCGAGTGATTGCATTCTGATATCGTTAGTACCTTTTATACCATTAACGCGTGGGGATATTCACCTTGTCTTGACCGTGTCCAATGGTTGGGTCACATAACTGATTCATGTTAGTTTGGAGTTGTCTTTTTTCTTCTTTCCATCTTCTTCAGGGACCAGGACTTACACAGTGATAAGCCCTGCGATTCCACCAATTCCAAAGGTAGCTGCAGTGCCCAGCTTTTCGCCTGGAGCCGTGTAGCCCTCTGCAAACTGCTTCAATGTTGTGTAGGCTGTGAATCGAGTTGCCGAGTTGGCGGCCTGTCTTGCTGTAGTGGGCACAAAGCCTTGGAAGAAGCCCCTGACACCTCTTTCCTTGAAAATGAGCTGGCTACCGTGCAGGAAACCACGCATCCGAGGGTTGGCAGACTTCCGGTCGTCGATCCTATAGTTTGGTCAGTAGAGCCAGCCCAAAAATAGGATGGGAACTTACAATTGGGTCTTGATGCTTTCAAAGGGGGTGACAGCGAAAAGAGATTCGGTGAATCCAGCACCAAATCCAGCAATAACCGTCCTTGGTCCTGAGATCTTGCCGTTCTCATCCTGGAGAACCGATTTTATGGCATCGAAAGCGACGAATCCTAGCATGTATCAACGGCAGCCCAGACAGTCGCGGGAGGTAGACGCACGAATTCCAGCCTTGAGCGAGTTTCCGATAATCAGTGTTGTACATCCTGCATACCACTGGCTTCCGAAGGGTGGCCATGGTAGCTTTTGGCCATGGGTAAGCTGGCGATTGAGTTGAGTCCGCGTCTTCGCAACTGCATAGCATTAGCACCAGTTGATGTAAGACATTTGAAGGTTCGTACATTCGGCCGGGTATGTGATCGCTGTAGTATACGCGTTAGCTAGCAGCCTGGTAGGGGTCATTGAGCTCTTTACCGATCTCCACGGCTCCGGCAGTGGACCCCGCAAGGATGGAGCGAAGGACACTGGGCTATCTATTGGTGAGCTTCAAGTAGAATATAATATTGGAGAACATACCTTTGCCTTTTGATCCTTATTCACCGTCGCCATTTTTTTTTTGGGTAGTTTGGAGGAATTGGAGTCGCCGATCCTCGGAGGTCCATATACGGCCTTCGGCACGTGCCATTACCGAGTCGATATGTTGGATCTATGGAGATCAGGTCCTTGTACAACTTCACATATGAAACGCAACAGGCTAATGATTAATCAAATCCTACAGATTATTACAGTATAATAAATTAGAGGGATATTGTCAATTCACTAGCTGAATCTACCTAGATCCGTT